AAAGATGCTTATTTGAAGCAAAACATTCTTCAAAAGAAAGGTATATGCATTCACAGGTTTTGAGTTTTATTGCGTACGTAAGTACTTTTAAGGCGATCATCATCATTCTTCACAAATTAAAAGCGCTATAGGAGTGCCAAAGTTCTTAAACTTAAAGCTTTTATCTTCAGTACCCATGTAGGAAAATGGTAGTCTTGACGACAGGCCCAAGCCTGGACCAGTAGTCGGAAAAATTGCATTGTCAATATTGGCCCAATGTTCGGCCAAGTTTGGTCTAATACCGGGCAGCATTGGCTTGTCGTTACTGGTCCAAAGTTTGGTCAATATTCAAATAACGAGGCTAGGTACAATAACATTTCAAGTTTGGACCAATACTGGGGCAGCCAAGCATTAGTCTGCCAATGCTGGTTCAAAGTTATATTAATTGTCAAGTACCAAGGTTAGGTTTATCAACGTTTTGCCAAGTTTGGTCCAATACTGGGCAGCCAGTATGAGTTTGACAGTATTGGTCCAAAGTTTGTTCAATCTTCAAATACCAAGGCTAGGTAAAATAACATTTCGTCAAGTTTAGTCCAATACTGGGGCAACCAAGCAGTGGCCTGCCAATACTGGTCCGAAGTGCCAAGGCTGGGTTTATTAACGTTTCGCTTGTTTGATTCAATATTGGGCAGTCATGTATGGGTTTAACAATACTGGACCAAAGACTAAAAGTCGGCCAAGTTTTAAGTGTTAATGCTAAGAATATGTACATATAAACGTTTAATTAAGCTAAAATCCAATACTTGGCAGAAAAGTATCTATTGGTCATGTTTCGGCGCAAAAGACTATTGCCGATATTTGTAAATATTTTAAACTTATAATCATAACATTTATTTGATCAAGCAGTAGGCATTACATTATTATAGGCTATTAGTCGTAAGTTGGTCCTAAGAAAAACCCCATAATCTGTATATATTTCTTACCCCCATTGTAAATAGTTTTATTACCTCTTTTGTACCTCTCATTCCTGTATACCTACCTATTAGTCATTTGGAATTTTCAATCACTATTCAATATTATAAATACCTAGTTTGTAGTTCTATTGAATTTCTTAGGACCAGGCATAATTTGTTTGTGTGTGTGTGTTAGTACACACAATTCTGGTTGTTGCCCCTTCCATCAGAAGGGTAACATAAATACTAAAATTTGTCAAAAAAATAAG